GCGAGTCTCCTGCCTCCGCCTCCCAAGTAGCTGGGACCACAGGCGCCCACCACAACGCCCGGCTACTTTTTGGTTGCAGCCGTCATTGTTGTTTGGCGGGTCCAGGCTGGGGATTCGAACCCGCCACCTTAGGTGTACGTGGCTGGCGCCTTAGCCGGTTGAGCTATAGGCACCGAGCCTAGGTAATCTTTTAAAGCTTTGATTACCACACACCCTTAACTCGAAAATCCTTTCCTTGACTATTCATTCCTCCAGACTTAAGTTCAAATCCATGGCAGCCTGCAAAGTCCTATGTCACCTGGAGTCAACCTACCATCCATCATTTTCAACTACTCCTCTACGTATACTTGGCCAAACTAGTCTCCTGAGCACGTCTGCCTTGCTTCAAAACCAGCTCTGTTAAAATTCTTCTATCTTCACAAAACCTTAATATTGGAATATAACGTAGGGTTCCTCAATTCATTCTCATTTTTCTTACAAGTGAGAAAACAGGGACCAATATAACTGACCAAGTTCAAGCAAGTACGCCTGGGCTAGACCAGAACCAAGATCTCACTCTTCTTGTCTGAGATTATTTCCACTGTCCCATCCAACCTCAATAGAGCATCAAATTTTACTTTTAAATTACTTTTCCATCAATTCTGAAGGCATTTTCCTGAGGAGGCTAAACGTTGAACCCTAGAAACGTCTAAGTCCCTCCATCTTAGAGATGAGGATCCCTATCCACATTTAAACTATCAATTTATTTTGGGTTTTTTGACCGTTTAGTGCTTTTTGTTTGTTTGAGAAACTACGCTGACTTGGAGAACTGCAATGAATTGGTTTGATCAGTAACTTACAACATGCATAAATAAAAAAACAGAGCAACGAGTTACAGAGGACGACGTGTAGGAAATTCCTCATGGTCCGACTACATTCCTGCAGGGTTCCTCACACTCGGCGCTTAGGGGCTGACTCAGAAATACCACGAGTGCACGGCTGTGCTGCAGAATGTTCCAGAAATGCCCCCGGCGCACGGGCTTCTCCCTTCTCCCTTCCCCTTCTATTCCTCGCTCTCCCTTTTACACCTCTTCTCTCCTTCCCCGAAGTAATAGAACGTGCACATAACTTAGAATCACGTCAGACAGTTTCTGTGAATAAATTAACTTTCCCGTCATAACATAGAGCCTCAGCCAAACCCCGGCCTGCGAGAGGCTGGTCCTCCTCGCGTGACAAACACCCATTAATCCCTGCGCACTCTAAGGTGTGGCCCCTCGCTCACCACTCACCGCGCACCTCTCCCCTCTGCCTCAGGCCCTCGGGCCATGCCAGGTACCTTTCCACTCCCTTCCCGCCCCCGTGTCTTCCCTGCCTGGGCTTCCACCCCACTAAAAGCCCTGAAAGGAAGCTTTCATCCTCACTCACTCCCTCGTTTCACATTCAGTCAAATTCTCACGTACGCTCGTACCGTCAGCTGCACCCCAAAACCAGCCAGCTTCACAGCGACGGACCTTCCTCCTCAGCGAAAGCGCGGGAAGAAGACGGCAAGCGCGCCAGTGCGCAGACTCCGCGGGAGGGGGCGGTGCGTGCGCATTCCCGCCAGGCAGCGCGCGAGTCACGTGGCTGTCTTCCGGTTACTTGGGGCTGTCTCACTTCGACGTGGAATAATGGTGCTCGGCCTGGCCCTTTCTTCCAGCGTTTACCAGTATGTGTTTGCGGGACAAGGAAACATCATTCTGAAGCTAGTCACCAAAGAATAAATAGGAACAGATGCCAAGGAAAGGCAGCGTGTGCACGAAATACTTACAGCCACGTCCTCTTTCCTGGTAGAATTTAAGGCCTCCCCCAGGATGGTTTGTTTTTGAGACAGTCTCACTCCCTCCCTGGGTGGAGCGCATCTGTCTTTAAAGCTCAGGGCAACCTCAAACTCTTGAGCTCAAGGAATCCCCGTGCCTCAGCCACCCAGGTAGCTGGGACTTAGAACCCTCCTCTACCAGTTGGGCTAATTTTTCTATTTTTAGTAGGGTTGGGTCTCACTCTTCCTTAGGCTGGTCACGGACTTCTGAGATGGAGCAATCCTCCCAGAGCAGATGGTTTGTTTGCAGGAGAGTTTAAAAGTGTTCTGCTGATCCAGAAGCAAGGTTTCCAGATCCAGAGCCTCAGTTTCCTGCCCCTCTTTCCCTCTGTTGCAATCAAACTTTCAGAATCACACATTTTCAGAAAATTTCTTTTTGGATCTGTCAATAAGTTTAGTCCATTTAAATTGGCAGCAGCTTTCAAAAATTATTTTGTAACCCTCGTGACATATACTTGTAGCTTAGACTCAATGGGTGTTTTGATGTGAAGACTTTGATGTGCAATTTGAAAGACTGACATTCTAAACTTGATGGAATAAAAAAAAAAAAAAGCAAACACAGGTCAATAACTCCCATCCATAAGCTCCAGGTACAAAATCTTGCACCTTAAAGTATATTTAACACTTATATACATTTGGGGGGGGGGCTTATTTTAATGTTATCTGTCATTAAGACTTAGAAGTATTGTGTATAAATCTATATATTTGCTGTTTTGAGGGGAACCAACTGTTTTAAGCAGTTTCCTAGAAAATAGGCAATTTGTTTAATTTAATTTGCTAATATTGTAAAACACAGATACTAAACACAGGACAATTACAGTGAAGTGACTGACAGTCTTTACAGGGTCCGTAACACTGAGGCCTGATAGCCTGTGTTGAATTTTTGCCATCTGTGGTAAAATGTAATACAAAATACATACATAATACAAAACACAAAATTTTGTAATAAATTCTTAATCAGGTCAAATGTATTTACTTTATAGAACGTCCTTTATTCTGATACCACGGCCTTCGTTTTTTTCTTTGGTAGCTAAGTTTCATGAGAAAAATGTAAAGATTTTAACGTCCTTACCTGGTAAAATGTAAAGTTGTCCATTCAGTGTTTATTTCTTCCTCATTTCATTATTGCTATTATTATTTTTAATGCTACACTAAATCCAAAAATCTGGAAAATACTCATCTAATTCCTGTCCCAGCCTTCACATTATATGATTTCTAAACAGGTGGTTTTCCATCCAGTTCTTAAAATATTTATAAGAATAATGATTCCATCTAATGCACAAATGCTTTTATCAGATTAAGAGAACACCATGGACATTTTAATTTATTATTTAATCTTATTTATGTTGAATAAAAGAAAGGGATACGAATAAGTAAGAGATCATGAGAGTTGCACTTATTTAGAGATGTAAAACATTCAAAAGGCTGTGATCATAATCTCATTTAATCTTCAAAAACAATTCTATGAACATGGTAAAAGTTGGGTTGTTCTGTACCAAAGAAAAAGTACTTTGTCCCAAAACTTAGAAATGTGTAAATTCTGCATTCTGTATCTTTACAAATGTAGAAAACTCACTAGCAATTGGCCATTTAAAATTAGAACTTTGGCCAAGGTGGTGGCTCACATTTGTAATCACAACACACTTTAAGAGGCCATAGTAGGAGGATCACTTTACAGCAAGAGCTCAAGACCAGCTGGGGAAACATAGCAAGACCCCCATTTCTACAAAATTTTAAAAACTTAAAATAAAATTAGAGTTTGTTTAGTGTTCTGCTTCTGATCACAGTTGGACCCCACCTTATGCTTTCATGTTTACTGGCCTTCTTAGCCACTACAGCGGGAGGAAGAAAACTGGCTATTTCAAGTTCATTAATGTGTGTGTTCTGATCATATACCTCTTAAATGTGCTATTGTTTTTCTTTGCTAGTTACCACATAAAGCACCTAACCACTATGCCATAGACTGCCTTTGTAACTGCTATGCACAATATGTTTTAATGACACAATATGTTTTATGTTTTCATTAATGTAATGAAAACCCTATCTTGTTTTCAAAAGGAAACAAAAAACAACTAGCTGCTGGTGTAAGCATTTTGCTTCCTAACTCTGGAATCCCTCTGTTTTCATACCATTTCTCTCCTGGCAATTCCCCTGCCAGCAAAGTAATACAATTTAATGTATGTGAAATTCAAGAAAAAAATGCCTTAGGAATTTTGTTTCTGTTAATTTATTTTCAAGGCTATGATATTTATACTCTGCTCTTTTAAAGTTACATCTCAAAAGACTGTTTTTAACAAGTTGGAAATAAGTCCTAAAACTATGTATACTTAAATCATTCTTCAGATTTTTTAAGTCAGAACTATGCCACCTTTCAAGGTATAGAAAGTTTTAGCACTGGAAACTGCAAATACATATTTGTTCTTGTATCAGAATTTTAGCATCCCTCCCCTCAAGTTTACTTTCTGTTACAGAAAATAAAACTCTAATGATGCTATGTTTTGCATGTGGTGTGCATATGAAGTACAAATTTTATGAAAATGGACTCCTAGTGGAAAGTAAATCTTTGTTTCAAGAACATGAAGGCCAGGGGGAAAAGAAAAAAGTAAATCTCAACTATCCTCTGACGCCATGCTGTGCTGGGGAGGGAGAGCCAGTCCTGAACAAGGTCCTAAAGTAAAAGAAAATATTTTGCAAAGTGTTCTTTATTAAAAAAAAAAAAAAAAAAGCTACATTTTAGAAATGCTGTAGCTGTTATAACATCGTAGGAATAACTACAATAGGACTAACCATTCAGCACTGTCAGATTTTTAAAAAGTTTTATGCTGAGAGGGACCAGAAAGTCTGATCGCTGAAAGACCAAGGTGAGAAAAGATGTTCGTAGTGGACTAAGCAGGTGCTTTCTTAAAGTACTTGGATATATTTCAGAAAGAGGTACAGGTTTGGGAAGCTGCAAGACCCCAACTTCCACAGAAGAAAAGATTTCATTAAAATAGTAATTTTACATTAAAGGAAACATTCCTATTCTCACCGGCTTTGTTTCAAGTTCTGCTGCCCTACCAAGAAGGCAGATCCAAGGCGTGCCGGAGGCGGGCGCCTCCAGCAGTCTCCTCCCTCCACCTTCTTCCTCATTCCCTCCTCCACTGACTGCTGGATCCCCACATGCCTTTTGTGTTCCAGGCTGCCTACTGTGGCTGGGCTGCCCAGAGGGCTGCCTCCTGCTAAGATTTACGGGCTTCCTGAGAGGAAAGGGACCTCGACTATTCCAGCGCTTCCTCTTGCAAGAAACGCTTCAGCACAGGTAAGAAATATCTTTCCTCTGTATTTGGAAACCCAGGCAGGTGTGGCACTTAGAGGTGAATAAGCCAAACAGGACTGAGAGGAAGTCCTCTGACGTGATTATAATAGACAGTCAGTAAAACCTAAGGAACATGAGCAGAGTCAGAGTAAAACTTTTTTTCTTTTTTATCAACTAGGAGAGAGTATCTGTCACCTTAGAGCAGAGATTCTGAAACTTTTTGCTCTCATGTCCCCTTTGCATTGTTGAAATTATTGAGGCCCTCGAGAGTTCTTGTTTCTCTAGCTTATATACTGTGTTATTGAAATTTACTGTATTATAAATTAGAACTAAATGTTTACTTAGCAAATTATTGAAAAATACCAATATGCACATCACACGGTAGCATAAATTACATTTTTAATTAAAGATAACTATGTATTTCAGAAAAAAATTCTAGTGTAAAAAAGGATACTGTTTTTCCTCTTTATTAATCTTTTAAATCTCTGGCTTTTGAGAAGACAAAGGAGCTAGATTCTCATCTGCTTTGCCTGTAGTTTTCGCAATTTCACACAGAAGGTAGCCAGCCTCTGGCAAATTCTGTTGTACACTCATGAAAGAATAAGAGTGAAAAAGAAAAATGACATCTTAGAACAGTAGAAAATGGCTTTTACTTTGTGAACCCCCTGAGAATTGCTGCTTTAGACTGATAAAACAAATAAGCTTCTCTTTGAAGGGAATCTTGACTCAGAATCAATTATATTAAAAGTAAATACAAAATTTCCATAACTGATGACCTTGTGGAATCGGCAGCAGTCGGTTGCCCTGGGTCTGGGCAACAGTTGGATAATGTTATTACATTCCCCAGGAGACCTTCACTTCACTCTAAGGAAATAAATAGCTCTATTTTGAAGTGAATAACAAAAACTAAGATACTCTTAAATTCCCCTTTCTTGCCTGCATTTTAAGTTTCTATGACGTCCTCCTTCAGAATATCTTTTATATCTGCAGTGTTTTCCTATTGCCTATGAGATTGTATCTGATTTCCAAGCCCTCCATAATGGAACCCCACCTCACCTCACATTCACTGTAAAACAGCAGGGCTGTTCCACGACAGTCCAAAGGTGGCTGCCTTCAGTCCACCCCTACCCTACCCCTGTGTGACAGGCTTTTATCACATACGTGCTCTGCCATGCCCTCTCCATCTAGCCATTCCCATCTTCATCTAGTCAGGTTTCAACATTCTTTGAAATGAAACTCAATTCTCCATGTCAGACAAGGCCATTCCGACTACATCAGTTCCGTTTTGGCTTTTTGTACTAAAGGTATACTTAGCAGTTGATTGATTATACCTTTTATAATTAACTACGTAAGTTTTTATCTTCTTCTACCCTCACCTTTTCTACACCCCTGACATACACACATTCATAATAAGATTGACAAAATTTTCAAGGACAAAATCATTTGTATAACTGAAAATTAGGTTTTTATATCATCACGGTCAAGATGACTGCCTACCTGATCTTAGGAAACCAGGAATGTCACGTGCTCCCTCATGTCATCCAGTACCTATTCCACAGAATGGCAATTCCATAGGAAGATAAACATAATCAGAGTTGCTTTTCAATTTCAAGGTATTTTTGACTTTTAATCTAATAGTAGATTTTCAAACTTTTAGGCTTAACAAGACTGGTCATATAATAAATATCTGCAAATAAAATCATGAAGAAGTAGTCATAAGGCATTTGCCACCAAATACAAATCCTTCTCTACTTGCAGTTTTAACTACAGTCTAGAACTGCAGAATGCTGGAGCTGGAACAGACCTTAAAATGGGACCATCCAACTTCCGTGGTGTCCAAATGAGGAAACAGACCTTCAGAATGAAGTGAACTTCCCTGGGCAACATTAGAACTCCTATGGCTTAATTTCTAATATGAAATTCTGGGGTAGTGCCTGTGGCTCAAAGGAGTAGGGCGCCGGCTCCATAAGCCGAAGGTGGTGGGTTCAAACCCAGCCCTGGCCAAAAAAAAAAAAAAAAGAAATTCTACCATTGACTAGCCCCTGGCTAGCTTTCAAAGGCTTGTATAACTGTAACTATTGTTTCAGAGAACTCATTGTCACGGCATACTCCTGGGAGGATCTTTCTGAGGTAGTGTAAAACTCTTTAAAAAAGAGAAGTCTATGATCTCAGAATCTTACTTAAAACATTCAAGGTATTTTTATACAACTATAATTTTCATAGATTAAAAAAACAAAGCAACATGGATGAGAGAGGAAAATTGAGGGGAGAAGCGGTGGAAAGAGAACACAGCACAGTATAATCAATACATCTAGTTATAGACGTATTGAGACCTAACAAAATAGTGGTAAGAAAATAAAAAACTGAAGAATTCAAAATAAATACACAAGCTCAGCACCTGTAGCACAGTGGTTACGGCACCAGCCAGTCACATATACTGAGGCTGGCAGGTTTGAACCCAGCCCCAGGCCAGCTAAACAATGACAACTGCAACAAAAAATAGCCGGGCATTGTGGTGGGTGCCTGTTGCTACTTGGGAGTCTGAGGCAAGAAAATTGCTTAAGACCAAGAGTTTGAGGTTGCTGTGAGCTGTGATGTTACAGTACTCTACCAAGGGCAACAAAGTGAGACTCTCTCAAAAAAAAAGACTCACAGATTTCAGATTTGGGCAGGTTACTTGAACATGTTTTGGAAAGTAATTCATTAGATATTTTACTGTTAAAACTGTGTATCTGGATCCAAGTTAAAAATTGTAGGCCAGATGCAGTGGCTCATGCCTGTATTCCTAGCACTCTGGGAGGCTAAGGAGGGAGGATCCCTTGAGCTCAGGAGTTCAAGACCAGCCTGAGCAAGAGTAAGCCCCTGTCTCCACTAAAAATAGAAAATTTTGTCAGGTGTGGTATCCGGCACCTGTAGTCCCAGCTACTAGGGAGGCTGAGACAGGAGGATTGCTTGAACCCAGGAGCTAGGCTGATACCATGGCACTCTAGCTGGGGCAACAGAGCAAGACTCTGTTTAAAAAAAAAAATTGCAAATTATATATATATTCTGGCTGGGCATGGTGACTCTTATCTGTAATCCTAGCACTCTGGGAGGCCAACACAGGAGGATTTCTTGAGCTCAGGTGTTTGAGACCAGCCTGAGCAAGACCAAGATCCCATCTCTACTTTAAAAAATTAAAAAATTAGCCGAGCATGGTGGCAGGCCCCTATAGTCCCAACTACTCAGGAGGCTAAAGCAGGAAGATTGCTTAAGCCCAGAATTTTGAGGTTGCTGAGACCTCTATGTCTTAAAAAAAAAAAAAAAATTATATATCCCCCAGTACAATTACCCTCACACTACTTTGTAGCCAAATTTTCTAAAAGAATAGTTTATAATCCATGTTCTTACTTTTCCCCCTTCCCATTCTGTCTTAGATATTTGTCAACCTGCCTTCTGCTACCTCCACTTTACCCAAACTGTTGTACTGTTACCAAAACTTCCTAATTAGCAAATTCAATGAACAAATTTAAGCTTGGATCTAAATTATGGGCTCTGCAGCTTCAGATTTCAAGCAACCCCTGCTGAAACTCCTTTCTCAATTTACAAAACTTCTCAGATTTATAAAACTGAAATAATTGTTTTTCACTCAAGTTGTTTTTTCGTTCTCTTTTTTCTTAATTAATCAGGAGTGACCACTCAACAAGTTGCCCCAGCCAGAAACTTTAAAGTCACCCTCATTTCCTCCTTCTCCCATTTCTTTTCTGCTGAGAAGTCCTGCTGTTTACTATTTCCTGAATTCGCTAGCTTAGTTTATAGCCTCATTATCTTTTAACTATTCAAACTGTTTCCAAGGCTGTTTTCTGCCCTCTGTCCAGTCTTCCCAGTTGGATCCATAATCTATAGGCTGCCACAGTGAGCTTTTCAAGATACAAATTTGACCATATCTTTCTCCTACTTAACATAAATCACTATTTTTTTCTGGGAAAAAAGTTCAAACTCCTTAGCCTATTTAAACAAGGGCTTTGTAATCTGACCCTCCTTCCCAATCTTTTGTCAAAATACAATGGAAGTTGTATTTGATGTGAGTTAAATTAGGCAAAATCAAACTAACTTTATGTAAAAATTATAGCTTTACTTTGTATAAAAAAAATGTAAGTAATGTGAACTCCTTCAGATGGTTTAACTAGAAGGACATGATTTTAAAGCTGGTAGTCCTAGAGAGCTGTAAGACAGTAATGCTATTTATCCACATGCAAGTGTCTCTTATACCAGGTAGAATTATCTGCTTCCCTGTCAGTATTATGTAAGCTAAGCTAATCTTCAATTATCTCAGAAGTTCTTGAGACAGACAGGTTTCGTGTATATAAATATACAATGTAAATATAAAATTAAATGTATAATTTTAAATATTTCTATATCTGATGGAACAGTTTTATCAAAGTGCCAAGGGCTATCATTGCTGCTTGTGCTAGAAAACATCTTCAGGCTCGGCGCCTGTGGCTCAAGCGGCTAAGGCGCCAGCCACATACACCTAAGGTGGCGGGTTCGAATCCCCAGCCCGGGCCCGCCAAACAACAATGATGGCTGCAGCCAAAAAATGGCCAGGCGTTGTGGCAGGCGCCTGTAGTCCCAGCTACTTGGGAGGCTGAGGCAGGAGACTCGCTTGAGCCCAGGAGTTGGAGGTTGCTGTGAGTGTGGTGCCACGGCACTCTACCCAGGGGGATAGCTTGAGGCTCTGTCAAAAAAAAAAAAAAAAAGAATAGAAAAGAAAACATCTTCAAATATATAAATTGGAATAATAGTTAGATGCAAGAAAATGATATTAAAAAGACAAAAGGCTATGTGGAGAGACCATTCTACAAAACATTAGTAATAATGCCAACAGTGTTGACAAAAAGAAAGCAGGAGTAACATTTTTCTTATTGTAGATTCATGCACTACAAGAGTACCTCCTCCCATACTTTCACATTTATTCTCAAGGAGAAGTTAATCTTATACTATGTGAGATCTTCAGAAATCCATTCTTTCTGTAAAATGTGACTACTTTTACGTTATTAATGGTAAAAGTGATGAGGCTGGCTCAGTGCCTGTAGCTCAGCGGCTAGGGCACCAGCCACATATGCCAGAGCTGGGCAGGTTCAAACCCAGCCCAGGCCTACCAAACAACAATGACAACTACAACCAAAAAAATAGCCAGGCATTATGGTGGGTGCCTGTAGTCCAGCTACTTGGGAGGCTGAAGCAAGAGACTCACTGAAGCCCAAGAGTTAGAGGTTGCTGTGAGCTGTGACGCCACAGAACTCTACCAAGGGCAACATGGTGAGACTCTGACTCAAAAAAATTTAAAAAAAAAAAAAAAAAAAAGATGCAGCTGAAACAGGTCTGTCTCTCTGCTCCCCTGACTCCTGGCCTTGGTTCACATTATTTTCTCTTGGTGGAAGCTCCTCTCCTGGCCTGGAAAATGCCTGATTCTCTCAAAGTATCCCAGTCATCACTTCCTCTTCGTCAACACCAACAAACAGAAAGAGAGGATCTTTTGAATATCCCGTCTTACATTCATTATACTGTTCATTACACTATGCATTCATTACACTATTTTCTAACTTTATGTATATATCTCTCTAGCCTCTGGGTCACTGGAGATTCATTCCTGTCAGTGTCATCAGCAGCTAGCCCCATTCCTGAGGTATACTAGATGCTCCAGAATTAATTGATGAATGAGTTCAAATGCTGTGTAATACTATGACTGCCCTTCTAAAAATCCATGTACTCTTTGACTAAATACAGAAGTTAACACTAGTAATTTAACCCAATTCCTGCCCATCCTGCTTGGTAAATTTCAGTTTCATACCTATGTGTGGGTTAATTAAAGCTTATAGATGTAGCAAAGACATGGAATATGTACACAAAGGAATACTATTCAGCCATAAAAAAGAACAAAATCGTGTCTTTTGCAGCAACAGGGATGGAACTGGAGGCCATTATCTAAAGGGAAACAAGTTAGATACAGACAGACAAATATCATTATCTTAAGTGAAACAACTGAGACACAGAAAGGCAAATACCATTATCATAAGTGGAATAACAAAAAGACAGCTAGCACATATTCTCTCCGATAAGTGGGAGATAACAATATATACACACAGATGTAGAGTGTACAATGATAGGCAGTGGAGACTCGGAGGGTGGGGAGGGGGGAGTGTGATGAAGAAACACTTTGCGAGTGCGATGTACGTTATTTAAGTGATGTATACAAGAAAAGTCCTGACAATCTATCCAGGTAACAAAATTATCCTTGTACCTCGTAAATTTATACAAATAAATAAAGTTTGTAGAGAAGACCATGTTAGCCAACTGATAACTAGTCGAAACATAGAGTCCCTCCTAGATTAACAAATGCCTGCCTTCTCAGTTAATTCAGTTAACAACTGCATTCTGACGTTGATAACAGGCTGGTGTTAAATGATGATGAAGTCAGAAAGGTGAATACAGAAAATACCCTTAAAGAGCACACAATTTCGTCATTATAGTTCTGATTTTTAATGCTAAAGCTAATTTGGGTTTTGGAAAAAAGTATTTAGACTTATCGGAGCACCCATTTTATCCTTTGGTATTATTTTTTGCCCCTCAGAGTTCTCCTTATCCCCTCCATTAAAAAAGTAGTGATAATTCTGACTTCTGAATTTAAATTTATTTTAAATTTCTATTTTATTTAAAGTTATTATTTTACCTAAATAAAATGAACTGAATGTCTGTCCACATTTGGATGTGTATAGGGAACTCAACCTAGGTAAAACTAGGTTCAATAGCTACCAACTAACAAATATTTTGGAATGGCTTAATTTGGATTAAGTTTTTTCAACTGACTTTAATTTCCTGCTCATTATAGCATACCTTCTTGGCTTCAGGTCTCTATCTATGAGCACAAATTTATAAATACTCCCACATTGACAACTGTGACCCAACCAACTTCCTGAGTGCCCCAGCCATAACTGTCCAGGGGGTCCAAGGCACTACTGAATTCTGGAGTAGCACTTCCTGGTCATTTTTGTGACATAGACAATCTGGTGAACACTGTAGACCCTTTCTCAGAATAGTGTTTTTGCCTATATAAAATTAAATACTTAGCCTTAGAAAGGAAACTGATTCTATTAAAATAGTTATCAAAAAATTAACTAATTTTGTTATAGTATATATAGAGTGTGCAAAAAATATATGCACTTTTTTAATTAAATCATAGCAGTGTACATTTATACTATCATGGGGTACAGTGTACTGTTTCTGTATACAATCTGAAATACTTTCATCCAACTGGTTAACATAGCCTTCATGCTGCACATTTTAAAAAAGGAAAAAACTATTAAAATTGTAATACTCAACATATACCAATAATAAAAGATGAATATAAGCCACATTGAACACCTCTTGTAATTCCAGAAGTCAAACATGACTTGAGTATTTCAAATTTAATACAATATTTTCCTTTCTAAAAATGTGTATACATATTTTTGGCACCCATTACTTATGCATTTTATTAACACATTAAGATCTTCTGGTGGGACTGATAACTTCTATAATTTCTGATTAATAATGAGTTTAATCCATATTTAAAGATCTCTTCAACAATTGTAACACAATAGGAAATAAGTATTTCTATTAGTGACAGAGTTGCAGGTACTACTAATAATACTGGGGTTTGTTTCCTACAAGTAATAATGGAAAGAATACTAAATTTCAGTTGAAAGTTGATGAAAATAAGGCCTGTTGTGGTAGCTCTTATCGTAGCACTTTGTGAGGCCAAGGTAGGAGGATTGCTTGAGGCCAGGCGTTCCAGGCCAGCCTGGGCAACATAATGAGACCCTGTCTCTACAAAAAAAAAAAAAAAAAAGAAAGAAAGAAAAAATTAGCCAAGTATAGTGGTAGGTGCCTATAGTACCAGCTACTTGGGAAGCTGAGGTAGCAGAATCACTAGAGCCCAAAAGTTTTTGCCCAGCCTGGGCAAAAATGTGAGACCCTGTCTCAAAAAAAAAAGTCAATTCTGAATGAGGACAATTAATGACCTAGTACATAGTGAGGGGGGTGGGGCAAGGGGAGAGCAGTAAGAGGGAAGGAGGAAGAGGGTGGGAGGTCACAGTGTGTGGCACACCTTTTAGGGGTGGGACACAATTATAAGAGGGTCTTTATCTAACAGATGCAATCAGTGTAATCCGGTTCTTTGAACCCTCAATGAATCCCCAACAATAAAAAACAAAAAAAGTTAGTGAAAATAAACACATAATGTTTTTCCCATTCAAGTTTACAGTGGATTTAGAACCCCACTTCTCACTCTATGACAAAATTCTGGAAGAACAAACACCACATTGAAGTGAAGTGGGACAGGACAGAGGGAAAGAGCAAAAAAAATAATAATTTTAATTTTTTCAAATCCTGTATCATTTGATTCTTTTACAGCAAGATTGTATTTATATATTATTTATGTTAAAAACATAACACAGTCTAGACTGTGTATCAAAAGCTGCTGCTACTCAGAAGAAAAGGAAGACCATGAAATGCTAGAGCCCTTCAGCCTTTCCGACCCTGCACCTCACCCTGCCCCAAGATGGAAACATGACTTTTATCATTGCTTCCCTTTAGCATTCTGACAGTGAAGTCACCAACCTTCAGCTGATCACTCGCAGGAGACCATTGGTGTAAGACAAGGGTGGAACCATTCCCTCATTCAAGGACAGTATTAGGTATATTTCCAGCATCCTTTGCAGATGCAGCTATATTTACATTGGTAATATATTTCTCTAAGGAATACTAAAATGATAGGCTTGACACCCGTAGCTCAGTGAGTAGGGCGCTGGCCACATGCACCGAAGGTGGTGGGTTCGAACCCCGCCTAGGCCTGCTAGGCAACAATGACAACTGCAACCAAAAAATAGCCAGGAGTTGTGTCAGGTGCCTATAGTCCCAAATACTTGGGAGGCTAAGGCAAGAGAATCTCTTAAGCCCAAGAGGTTGAGGTTGCTATGAGCTGTGATGACAGGGCACTCTACCAAGGGCAACATAGTGAGACTCTGTCTCAAAAAAAAAAAAACCTAAAATAATAATTAAGTTCAATAGTAATCCACTTATCTACCCTTTGTAATATTCTTTAAGGAGAAAATTCTCCCTCGATTCCACATATCTGATTGTTTGTGAGAGGATGTTGAAACATGGATATTCACAAGCTGAAACTCTTGGCATTTATCAGGAGTTCATCAGCATATTGGGTGGGAAACTGACTTCTGGATTTGGAGGTACCCCAAGGCAGTAGTAAAAGGTTCCTTTAATATAAAAGCTACAATCATGGCCTCTTAACAAATGGCTCTTTGCTTTCAGTAGGAATAAAGATGGCTGCCGACACAGTCGACAACAACTGCATCGACTTCGTGGCAATGAAATTTATTGACAATACACTTTACTTTATAAGTAAGTCTAAAGCCAAACACCAGGGGCAGAGAAATGTATTCAACTAGAAAAGATGTGGGGTGAACTGTGAAATGACTCTTTTTCATCACCAAATTCCATTGTCATGTTAATGACTCTTCTCTAAGCAAATAAACAAGGTGGACCTCTAGAAATTAACCATAACATGTCCACGGTCCTAGTACCAGTCCAACCATATGTCCTGGAAACTCCCACCTCAGAAAACAATTTTTCCAAGGCAGATTGGCAAATAATACATAGTGTCCATAAAGTTCCATACACTATTTGAATAGTTGTCAATTTTAAATTGCACATGAACCTTATGGACACTCTGTATAAGACATTCCCTAAATCTAAAGTTCTGTGGTTCGGCACCCATAAATCAGTGAGTACAGTGCTGACCACGTACATGGAGATTGACCGGTTACAGCCTGGCCTGGGCCTGCTAAACAACAACAACAAAAATAGCCAGGTGTTGTGGTAGGCACCTATAGTCCAGGGTACTTGGGAGGCTGAGGCAAGAGAATCACTTAAGCCCAAGAGTTTGAGGCTGCTGTGAGCTGTGATGCCACAGCACTCTACCACAGCAACAAAGTGAGATTGTATCTCAAAAAACAATTGGACAAGTAAAAATTGATTCTTACGATTAATCTTACAGGAGCAATTTGGCTTCATTTGAAAGTTTTCTATATAGTTCTTAGGTGACTTTTCATTTAAGCAATAAATTTCAGAGTAAAATCCATCACTTTATAAAATTTTCTTTTAGCTACATATTGAAACTCATAAACCTTTTAAATTTTGCATCTAGCTTATCTGAGAACATACCAATCTAATTGAGCTTCATTTTATGGGCCTTTAGAATGATTATATAATAGTCTGATGAAAGCCCATAAAGACCATCAGTAAAATAGGAGTTAAAGAATAGAGATTAGCAGAGAATAATGAAAGGGTAAGGTAGGAGGAAATTCTGAGTTTAAAAATAGAATTTAACATATTTTGTGTCTCTTTTTTTCTCCCCCAGCTGAAAATGATGGTAAAGTATGAATGTATTTCTCTTTCTTTGCAAAGTAAGTAGTTGTGTAGACACATCATTGTCAGCTAGGAGCAACCGTCCACCTGATCCCAGGCTATCTGGGGAGCCAGTCTGACCTCAGAAGGATGTGAACTCAACAGTACAACCTTGGAATGAAGATGACCAGAAAAGATCCAAAGAGAAGCCTCTAGCAAAAAATCTTCTCTATGCCTTAGGAAGTTCCCTAGCTTTTAGAATCTACAGAGCCGACCTTGCCTGTCACATAGGTCCTAAGATTATCAGGGAGTCATGGGTTCTCTGGAAGGCATAGGAAAAGGGGAATGAAGCATAAAAATGATCGAAAATCAGGAATCTTTTCCTTCTTCAACCTCCTCTCCCAGAAATGTTTTGGGAAGAAGCCTGGGAGGCTCTCAGGGGGCAGAGAATCTTGAAGTAAAGGAGATGAGGATGAATGGGACAAGCAGACCACTTTCAAAGGCCAAGGTCTAAAAGTGTGGCACTTACGAAGACTTAAGAGTAATTCAGAATGGGATCAGAGTGAGAGTAAGAGAATGATGAGAGAAGCTAGAGTGATGAATATGGCATCATCAAGACATTCTCTTATTCCAAGATACAAATTTGGACTTTAACTTGGGAGTAATAGGGGGATTCATTAAACATACCACATATATGTATTAGTGAGGATACAGATTAGTGTGTTATAACAAGGACATTCAAAATTATAGTTAGCTTAATAAGATAAAACCTTTTTCCCTTCAGGAATAGTAAGGCAGGAATAGTTCAGGAATAGTAAGGCAAGATGCCTGGTGTGTTTGAGATCTCCACTTTCTTCAGTCCTACTCTATCCTCCCCTAGCAGTTGATCCCATTCACATGCTTGAAAATTATTATACTTTCTGGGTTACCAAGAAAGGGTCAAGATAGGAGGAAGAAATATAGGCTCATTCTTTTCAAAGTCTTTACTTGGAAGTTATACACATCAATGCACCCCATATTCCATTGACTAGGATATAGTCATCTGACCACATCAAGTACAACAAAATCTAGAAAATATCTTTATTATGGGTAGCCACGTGCCTCTTGAAAATTCAGAGATAACATAATTCTATTTTTTAAAAAATCCCTCTGGTTTCAGTATAAAGAACTGATTGGGGGCATAAAAAGAGAGACTCTAGTTAAGAGGCTATTCTTTTAGTCCCTAGAAGACATAATGGTGGCAGGAATTCAGGTAGGCACAGTGAAGTGCTGGTGAAGTGCTCTGAGTGGATTTTGGAAATACTTGAAAGAATCGACAGGCCATGATTTGGGGTTGCATTTGGAAGATGAGGTAGAGGAAGGCACAAAAGATGATACCTGCATTTTCACTTAGTCAATTTATACTATTCAGTGAAAGAGGAAACACAGGAGATAGATCAAGGGTCAGGGTGTATGAGAAGAGGGAGATGGACTTAGTTTGGATCTCGAGGTATCTGTGGGACATTGTAGTTCAATAAACACTGACATAGAGTTCTGAGCTCAGGACAAAATCTGGACTAAAGAAAGTGAGGCTAATAAAGAATAGAGAACAGACCAACCCAAAGGGAAGAAAGTGAGCCAAGAGAACCCCACGGACTCCTAGGAGAACATTTCAAGACAAAGGGACAGGCCCTGTGTTGAATTTTGCAGCCTGAAAATTCAAGAGCCAGAAAGATCTACTAGAGCTAGCAGCAGGAGGTTTGCTGATCTGGGTGAAAGCAGTTTAATGGAGAAATGGAGACAGAGGCAGACTGTGATGAGTAGACGCATCAATAAATAGAAAGTGAGGAAACGGTACAGACAATTCTTACCAGAAACTTGGCTATTAAGAGGAAGAGAGAAACAAGGCTGTCGCTGCAAAGTGACATGGGATTGACAGAAGTGTTTTAAATCTCAAAATGAAGAGCTTCATGCTTTTCTGATTGTTACAGCTAATTCAGGTAAGCAGAAATAAGAACACTCAGGAAAGTAAAAACATGAAAGTCACCCACAAACAATGATAGCTGTCATTTTTGGTGTGCTTTTTAACTATACTTCCTTCAGTACATATGAGGGCTGTCCAGAAAGTATCCAGCCCAGCACTATGAAGAATAAAGGCAGGTGGCTGGATGCTTTCCTAACAGCCCTCGCATATGTATTTACACACAAATGCTTGTATTTGTATCAAAAGGGATTGTACTATACCTAAGCTGCTTTTTCTACTTAGTGATATATACGGACATATTTCCATGGCAATGAATAATTATAGTTATATTACATTCATAATATTCCACAGTGAGCACATATCAACATTTATATACTCAATTGATACTTTGTTTCCAACTTGTTATCATTAACAGTGTTCTCATAAGCATTTTTCTACAAAAATGTTTACCTATTTGATAGTCTCTTTACCATAAAATGCAGGAGGTAGAATTGCTGGATTGATAGAAAGGAGGGGATGAGTGGTAAATCAAGATTCAATTAAAGGTACGTGCAGAACACAAATGGGACCTGCCTGTGAGACCACGAGGGACACATTCTGCACATTTTCCTTGGGACAAGATAGAGGAAATAACTGGTGGTGCAGAGAAGTTTGCAACTGAAGTAGAGAGAAGTGATCTGCTGAAAGTGAAAGCAGAGACGACATTGTACAAGTCCTGAAGATAGTAAAGGTTTGAAACTACAGCTATGAACTATGGAAAAGTGTGCTGAACTGGAAAACAGAAGCAGGATTGACAATCGATGTGCTGCCAATAGCGCCAGTGTGCACATCGGTATAATTGTTCAGAGGCAGCTCTCAGCAGCCAAGTTTGGAGTTTTGTAGCAGAAAGGGAAATGAGTCAGGGATTTAATATACGGGCAACACGGCAGACAACATGACAACCCACGAGGTCCCACTGCACAGGGAAGGAAGGGGAGATGAGCAGAGGTTAGATGGGGTGGAAGTGGAAGAGTCAGGAGCCTGGAGAACATGCTGAAATCTAAGGAAGCAGAAGAAAACTAAAGGGGTAGGAGACTAGTCAGAAAGTAGAGTTTTTGAAGTTAACTATTGAGAGATGGAGTAGTTCTTAGTGGTAACAAGAAACTGTGCCCTTGGAAACAGGTAAAAAAACATTAGGAAACTAGTGAGACTGTCTCTACAATAAAAAAAAAAAATTAGGAAACTTTATTGTAGCTGCTTCTGGAAAAGAAAATTGTAATTAATAGGTTTGAAACCAAAACACATAGTATATCTGTTGTTTGATTAAAACTATTTTTTAATGAAATTTAATGTATATTGTAGAAAACCTGGAATCAGACTACTTTGGCAAGCTTGAACCTAAACTCTCAATCATAAGAAATTTGAATGACCAAGTTCTCTTCATTGACCAGGGAAATAAGCCTGTATTTGAGGACATGACTGATGCTGATTGTGAAGGTATTGTTTTTAATGTGCAAACATAGAAATGACTAGCTACTTACTTCCTCCCATTCCATTTTACTGCCTACATTTTTCTATGCCATACCCAGACCTTAGATGAAAAGTCACAGGAGTAACAATAATTTCACTTCTAAGATAACTAATAGGGCAACCATATTAGGGGTCATGTCACGCTGAGCCTACTTTTAGATCACCCATCCCTGCATTGTAATTGCATTAACTGTATAAAATCTCTATCGTTGGATCATTAATCCCTGCTTATTATACCTAAAAATGCTGACAAGTATTTCCAAAACTGAAAAGAGTACTTTAGAAAATGACTGAATTGCCAGCAATGGTGACGAGTGCCTGTAAGGTGCCTCTCCAGTTTCTTCAGAGGCTGAGCAAAAGAATTGCTTGAAACCAGGGATTCAAGGCTGTAGTGCAGTGGGCTATGGTCATGCCTGTAAAGAGCCACTGCACTCCAGGCTGGGCAACGTAAGGTGACTCCACCTCTAAAATTTAAATTAAAAAAGAAAAAATGATGGGCACAGTGGCTCATACCTATAATCCTAGCACTCTGGGAGGCCAAGGCCAGTGGATTGCTTGAGCTCAGGAGTTCAGGACCAGCTTGAGAGAGGGAGATCCCATCTCTAAAAAATATCTGGGCATAGTAGCAGGTGCTGGTAGTCCCAGCTACTCAGGAGGCCAAGACAAGAGGATTGCTTGAGCCCAGTAGTCTGAGGTTGCTATAAGCTATGACTCCAAGGCACTCCACTGAGGGCAACACAGTGACACTCGGTCTCAAAAAATAACGTTAATAATTAAGACTGTGCCTTCCAATCTATGAATTCCAAATATCAGAGTTATAGGCTGAGTTGAAGCAATGACTGCGTTCTTGAAATATACTGAATTCCTTACCGTAACAAATATATTTTCAATATTCTGTTTAACATTTAAAAGTTATGAATAATTTTTTAGAATTTGGAATATCTTTACAGTACTCTGAAAATTGCTTTGTGTATGTTGTAATGAGTGTCTGACCGGCTAACTACCTGACCTCAGAGTGCAGGATTGGTGATGGTTCTATGAAGGACTATCCTCTGGTTAAATTCCTGCAAATATTCCTTTGCACAATTTCTTCTAACTGTTTTTCTCATTCATTATTTATTTCAGCTAATGCATCCCAGACCAAATTAATCATAAATCTATATAAAGATAGCTTTGCTAGAGGTATGGCTGTCACCATCTCTGTGAACTGTAAGAAAATTGCAACTCTATCCTGTGAGAACAAAATTATTTCCTTTAAGGTAAGACTGAGCCTCACATTGTTTTCAGAAATATTAATGGACAAAATTAGAAAACTCAGTTATCTTCAGTCCACGCTTTTGTGTAAAACAGGAATAGCAAGAAGCAGAGAATTATTAAAATGAATAGTTACTGAAAATTATCACACTCTTCACATGTTTTGATAACATTATGGTTTTTCTGAGCCTGTCATAGGGAAGAAGGGATACAATGTTTGTTGCATAACCTGGGTCTTCTGAATAATCAATCTATAAATAAATAATACCATAGGTGGGCATAGTGGCTTACACTTGTATTCCTAGCACTCTAAGAGGCCAAAGCAGGTGAATTGCTTGAACTCAGGAGTTCAAGATCAGGCTGAGCAAAGACTGAGACCCTATCTCTACTGAAAACAGAAGAAAATTAGCTAGGCTTTGTGGTGCCTGTAGTCTAACTAGTCAGGAGGCTGAGGCAGGGGGTCACTTGAGCCTGCGAGTTTGAGAATGCTGTGAGCTATGATGATGCCATGGCACTCTACTGTGGGTGACAGAATGAGATTCTGTCTCAAAAAAATAAATTTAAATATTAAGAAAATATAGATTATAGAGCAGCGCCTGTGGCTCAGTGAGTAGGGCACCGGCCCCATATTCTGAGGGTGGCGGGTTCCAACCCACCCCAGCCAAACTGCAGCAAAAAAATAGCCAGGCATTGTGGTGGGTGCTTGTGGTCCCAGCTACTCAGGAGGCGGAGGCAAGAGAATCACCTAAGCCCAAGAGCTGGAGGTTGCTGTGAGCTGTGACGTAACAGCACTCTACTGAGGGCGAGAAAGTGAGACTCTGTTTCTAAAAAAAATATATGTATATAGAATAAAAACATGAATTATTCATGTATATTTATTTAAGGATAACATATGACTTTACAGAATAAGTTCTGCTACATAGAATGAAGTTAATTATCCTTCTGTAAATCCACTACTTTTTGCAAATTATGATGATAATATTTTAATCCCTAATTGTTTTATTCCTGCTCCTTAGCTTAAGTCTTAGATGTAACCTTCAGCTTCCAGTTGACATGTTATTTTTAAGGTTAATCTAATTAAATAAAATTAATAAGATCAACTGTAAAAGAAATACTACAATTACACCAAAACCAGGCATAAATTATTTCTGGCAACTACTTTCTCTCAATTATTCTCCATTATTTTTCTTTATCCATTATTATTAAACTACCATTAACTATAGCTACAGATTTCGAAAACTTTCCTCCCAATACGAGCAACTAAAGGATACTTAGAATTTGACAATCCAAACAGGTGCAATGGCTCACATCTGTAATCTAGCACTCTAAGAAGCTGAGGTGGGAGGATCACTCGAGGTCAGGAGTTCAAGACCACCCTGAGGAAGAGTGAGACCCTGTTTCTAATAAAAATAGAAAAACTAGCGAGGTGTTATGGCAGGTGCCTATAACCCCAGCTACTCTGGAGACTGATTAAGGAAGTCTGCTTGAGCCCAGGAGTTCAAGGTTGCTGTGGACTGGGCTGATCCCACGGCACTCTAAGGGCAGTAGAATGAAACTCAGTCTCCAAGAAAAAAAGGAATTAAGGAGAGATCAGTATTGACATATTGAAAATTTTTTCTTAACTCTTGGGAAGAAAAACTACTTTCATTCTGTCCAGTAATATGCTTCAAAACAAACTGAATATATATTCAGTTGCTTGTGTTCTGAAATAATTAGGTAATGTTGTTTTTTCTATATAGGATATCAGTCCTCCTGATAGTATCAAGGAGCCAGAAAGTGACATCATATTCTTTCAGACAAGTGTTCCAGGACATGATACTAAGATGCAATTTGAGTCTTCATTATACAAAGGGTACTTTCTAGCCTGTATAAAAGAGAGTGACCTTTTCAAACTCATTTTGAAAAAAAATGATGAACCTGGGGATAAATCCATATTGTTCACTGTTCAAAATAAAGACTATTAACATTTTACAATGTGAAATTTCTGAGATTTTCTGTTTCTGAATGGTTGTAAGCATTTATGAGCCTATACTTGTAGTGGTGAGATAAAAATAATAATGGCTTCAAAAAACACCACTGAGAAATGAATAAGCCTTCACAATAACCCTTATCTAAGTGAATAAAATATTTTTATAAAGTTGTAAAAAATGCATAATATGAAAACACATTCTACATTGTTCATTGGGACAGAGAGTATACTCAATAGAATTGTTTTGAATCTTTTGAGTTATTGTTCCCAAAGACAAAAGATATTAATATTTAAATTTTCTAATTCAAGATTTTTATAAGGAGATTACTTCACTTGCTAAATTTCTAACATTTTTCTAAAGCCAATGTATCTTTAAAATTTAGCTTGATCATGAATCCAGCAACATATGGATTATTAACTCTGTCCAAGTGGCACTGCATCCCAGGAATGCAAAGATGGTTTAACACCCTAAAATCAATTCACATAATATAGCATATTTATAGAATGAATAAAGACTACATTATCACTTCAACAGATGCAAAAAAACATTTAATGAAATCCAATTCATAATAAAAATTCCCAATAAACTTGAAAGAGGAAAAAACCTTCTCAACATGATAAAGGCATCTATGAAAAACCTATAGTTAGCATCATAGTTAATGGTGAAAATTTTAAGGAAATTCATTTCCCTTAAGATCAGGAATAATGCAGGTATGTCAACTCTTGCAACTTCAATTCAAAATCATACTGGAGGTTCTAGCCAGTGCAAACAGACAAGAAAGGGAAATAAAAGACATCCTGATTAGAAAGGAAGTCTTGATTTGCAGACAACATAGTTCTTTAATGTAGGAAATTCTAAGGAACACACACCCCCCTGTTAGAACAAATACCCACATAACAAGTTCAGTAAGGACAGAGATTACAAAATCAATATGCAAAAAGATATTGAAAGCCAGGTGCAGTGGCAGTGGCATGTGCCTATACTTCCAGCTACTTAGGAGGCTAAGGCAAGAGGATTACTTGAGGCCAGAAGTTAGAGGCTCCAGTGCAGTGGTTCTCAACCTTCCTAATGCCACGGCCCTTTAATACAGTTCCTGTGGGTCACGACCCACAGGTTGAGAACAACTGCTATAGTGTATTATGATCACGTCTATGAATAGCTACTACCTTCCCAGTTTGGGCAACTTAGCAAGACCCCATCTCAAAAAAAAAGTACATTGTATTTCTATTATATGAGCAATGAACAATCTGAAAATAAAATTAATAAAACAATTCCAATTACAATAGTATTTAGAAAGAATAAAGCACAAATAAATTTAGAAGTATCAAAGCATTATTGAAGGAAATTAGAGCTGCTCTAAATAATTGGAGAGACGTCATGCTCATAGGTTGAAAAACTCATTCAATATTGTTAAGAAGGCAGATATCTCCAAATTGATCTATACATTCAACTCAATCTCCATCAAAATTCTGGCAGGCTTTTTGCAGAAATTGACAAGCTGTACCTGAAAT